GGATGGCTGGGTGGGAGCTGGTTGGCTGGGTGGTTGGTTAGTTGGATATCTAGGTAGGTGTTGTCTTGATGGGTGATTGATTAGTTGGATGGTGTGTGGGTGTGAAATTCTGTACCTCAAAGTAGCACCCTGGAAACCCCATATTCACCATGGTGATATGATTATGATATGTTTTGTTCAAAGTATACTTTGTCATTTTAATAGTCTTTACCTGTTGAATAATAATAACCTGTTGGATTGTATGTACTATCATTGTATGTGAAGTTATGAAGTGTTGCTATATGTGTTACTGAAATATGTTGTGAGGTTGGGAACCCCCACAACCAGCCTTTCAGGTACAACAAAGGAGTAGACATCAATAGCCAGACAGTGTTAATGGCTCTTCAACACCCATCAAGAAAAGAATCCACTATCCCAGATGCAATGGAGACTGCCTGACCAATAGGGACTGCCTGACCCCCACATCAAAGCAAAGATGTTCCAACAAGCAGAAAGAAAGTATAAACGAGGGGAAGTGACATCATTACTTGGCATCTCCCTACCCACCCCCACCCCAGTGCAACACCTGGAAGAACATCTGGAGGTGAAAGACTTTGAACTGGGGAAGTTTGGCCCCAGACTGGAAGGGAGTCACAGCCCGTGTATTGAGGAACTGTGACCGTCTGTGCCACCCGTCAGGATGAGAAAAGCTGTTCGATTCAACTCGTTGTTAGACTAAAAGTTTAGGATTTAGAATGCGTGCTTCTGTTTTTATTTCTGAGGAAACTATCTCTGACCTACCGCTTAGAATCCCTTACAGTCTCTCTGTCTGGAGTTAATAAACCTGTTTGACATTTGACCTGAAGCCGTGTGTTTGGGTGGAAGTGCTTGGGAACTCTCAGCTCAGGTTACAAGGGCTGTTGCACGTCCAGTACCCTTTTGTCGGCGTGACAAACTAGCAAATGGACTTACACTGGCCAGACTTCGGAGCAGCGCAAGACGGTGCAGTTCTGAGGTGCAAGGCTGTGGAGCTGGGGAATTGGCTGGAGCCTCCCTATTGCTGGCGCACGGTGGTTGTAACTCATGGCTGTGTAAGTGCAGGGCCTGTCAGAGGTTTGCAACTTGAAATTAGCATCACAGTGTGAGCGCCAGCCCAGGTTGGGGGGACAGAGGGCTCAGCAGCCCCACAGTTCAGATTGCACACCAGGTACCCCATCACAGTGGGGTTAGGCTAGATGAATAGTTGGTTAGTTGGATGGTTGGTAGGGGCTGGCAGACGGGTGATTGGTTAGTTGGATGGCTGGGTACGGCTGGCAGGATGGGTGATTGGTTAGTTGGATGGCTGGGTAGGGCTGGCAGACGGGTGATTGGTTAGTTGGATGGCTGGGTAGGGCTGGCAAACGGGTGATTGGTTACCTTTCAGCATTCAATACATTTGCTGCAGACCCCTTGGAACTGGCGAACCAGAGAGGTGTAGTCGTCCTTCTGTGGCTCTGCCCCTGGGGCAGATGATACCCACCTCGGTGCCGGCACACGACGGGTCTGCGTTACCCTCTGCACACCGGCCGGCAGCGTTCCTAGGTTCACAGCCAACGCGAGGGAAAGTCAGGCTCAGCAGATGCTTGTTTGCATGAGTCAGGAAGTACCAAATCCTGCAGCTCATTGATCAAACCCCCTTCCCCGTGTGCAGCAACAAGAACCTGACCCTGCAGCCGCTCCGGCAGCCACAGGACACTGGCCGGGGATCTGCACCGTAACGCGTTAGGGAGACCGCGGCCAGCTGCTGCTCTCTAGGGGTCAGAAATGCATTGAGAGGAGTCAAAATGCAAGACAAGGAGCCCTGGGCTCCCTCTCCCCATGAATTTGCTGGGGGTCTCGCAAGAACGTGGGTCAGGAAAAGGGCAGCGGGCAACCCACACGGGGCGGGGGAGGAGTGCGGTGACATGGGGCCGGGGATCCCTCCTGGGGGGCATGTTATTGTCCACCCGCCAGGGCCTCCTCGCTCAGCACCCGGCAGAGGCTTTGATCTACACCTGTCCAGCACTGCCCCCCCCAGGCCTGCCTGTGCACCCTCGTCTGTGAGACCCGTGCCCCAGCTTTCAGCAGAGCCGCTCATGGGACCCCATATTTATCGGTCTTGGCCCTCTTGTAAGGAAAAGCACCAGCTTGCTGATACACTGTAGCAAACATCTTTATGGGGGAAGAGCGGGGGGGTCTCAGTCCAGCCCCCCCGCCCCCAGCCCCCCAGTACACACCGACAGAATAATTACGAGTTAAATAGAATCCAAACACACATAAATTAACGGAGACGGGCAGGTGCCGCAGCGTCTCCCCAGTGCCCTGCCTGGGTCGGGTCTCTGAGTCTGCTAGCAGCGGAGGTGGCCCCGGACCCGGCTCTGTCTGGCTCGCCCCGGCCCCCTCGCTCTGGTTCTGGGCTACTCTCCCTGCTCTGCTTCGTGGGGTGATCACTCGGGGCTGCCTTTCATAATGCTGAGCCGATCTTCCTGTCCGTGGAGCTGATCTGCTCCTCTTCCTCCCCGGAGCACGAGGAGCCCGGGCTGTAGCCGAGCTCTGCAGGGCGGCGGGGCAGGAGCTCCACGCTGGCACCGTGCCTGTTGAATTCAGGGCCCTCCTCCTGCCCCTGCGGCTCGCTGGGCAGCAGCTTCTCGGCGGCTTTGCTGACCCCTCTTTGCTTCTCGGCCTCGGCTTGGGCCACCTGCTCTTTGGCTTTCCGGCTGCGTTTCCACTTCATCCTGCGGTTCTGGAACCAGATCTTCACCTGCAGAAGACCGACAGGAGGGTGACTATAGGGTTTCCCCAGCCACGCACCTGGGGGCAGCCTCTCCCAGCGCTGACACGCTGCCAGCCCCAGGGCGGGGCACGGCACACGCGTCATCATTTATTACTGAGACACGTTATACTGCCATGAGCGCAGAGCCGGGCCCTGCTGGGCCAGGCGCTGACCAACAGCTGGTGAGAAAATCCCTACCCCGAGGAGCCAAACAAATTAATAGATCACCCCCCCCCGGGTCACCCGCCCTGGAGATCACCCCCTCCTGGGTCACCCATCCTGGAGATCACCCCCTCCCGGGTCACCCGCCCTGGAGATCACCCCCTCCTGGGTCACCCTAAACCTGCCCTGATCCCAGCCCCTAGTATAGGAGTAGATCAAGGGCATGGCCAGAGTGCTCAGTTCTACAGCTGTCCTTTGCCTCCTAGGTCCACCAGGTGCTGGGGAGACATTTAGAGCAGCGCTGAGGCTGCTCTAACTTACACTGGGGGCTGGTCAGGTGCCCACATTGCCCTAGAATACAGGGAGCAGAAAGGTTGAAGCCACCTCAACTACCAGCCCCCAATGCCCACTCCAAGCACAGACACGGCATCACGGAGAATCAGGGTCACTGGGTGCGATTCCAGTATCCCCAGTGCTAGAACATGGTGAGCGTGGCTGCCCAGGAGGTTGGGGTTAGGAGGGGCCCCCATGGGCTGAGTCTTAGGGATATAGCATTGTGTTAGGGGACACACACACACACGGACTAGAATCAGCCCAGGGTCCCAGAACGGCGCGCGCACGCACACACACACACACCCCCCAGGGTGCCAGACCAGTAGCCCCGGAGGACAGCGCGGGGACGGGCCCTGCTGCTGGGTGACTGGTTTCTGGGTGGAGTCACTGTGCTAGTAAAAGAGGCAAATCTTCTGGGGTCACCATTGCAGGACGGGAGCCCAGGGCCCATCGGCCCTGCCCCTCACCCATAGGTGCAGAGGGAGGCCAGTGAGCAACTCCCCCCCTGCCCCCCCTTTTCCCAGCTCCTGCGGGGACCGTACCTGCGTCTCGGTCAGCATCAGCGACGTGGCCACTTCGAAGCGCTTGGGCCTGGACAGATACTTGTTGAGCTTGAACTGGTTCTCGAGCTCCAGCAGCTGCTGGCTGGTGAAGGCCGTGCGGGGCCGGCGGCATTTGCCCATCAGGCCGGACTGCGGAGGGGCTGAAATGCAACGAGCGGGCACAGGTCAGCGGGCGGGGGAGGGGGGCTGGGAGCCGCAGCGAGCCCCTCCCCGAGGGCAGGGCCAGGCGTCTGCCCCGCCCGGTGCTGAGTGCCTAGACCCAGGGTCAAGTCCTGCTTTACCGCACATGACCGTGGGCGAGGCTCAGTCGGACGCTCGCGCTGCTCCACCCTGCAGGGGGGGCGCCCCAGGGGGCGGCTGCTATAGAGTGGGAGGTGCTGAGCCCCCCTGGCAGCGGGCGCTAGCTAAGGGCCCTGGCTAGACAGGGCAGCGGGGGAGCAGACGGGGCTGCTGGGAAAAGGCCAGGGCGGGGGGAGGAGGTGGGTCTGGGCAGCAGGAATTTGGGAGCCGTGACCCATGAAGACAAGGGGGCATTAGGGTTAGGCGAGGCAGGAGGATGGAGCAGACGGGACGCCCCTGCGCAGCTGACGGGTGGGCGCTTGAGAGGGGGGATGGGCGAGGGAAGCCTGACGCCCCTTTGGGTGGGGGGTGAGAGCAGGAAGGGGGTAGGCGCTTCCTGAAGATGGAAGAAGTGTCCAGGGCGGAGGGACAGTGCAGGTGGCTGTGAGGGCCTGGGCTGCGGGATGTCACTAGAGGCAGGGAGGAGCATGGGTATTTGGGGAGGCTGGGCCTGAGAGCCCGAAGCTCCCTAGAAGTGGGAGGAGCCACCGGTGCCTGGACCGTGGCCCCACCCCCTTCACTGCCCCTGCTCAGCCTCCGAAGCCCCGCCCATGCTCCACCCCTATCCCACCCCAGGCCCTGCTCCCGCTCAGCCCCTTCCCGAGGGGCCCCCTCGCCACGGGGGAAGAGGTGGAGCGGGGACGGGAAGAGGAGCTGTGTGGGCGTGGCCACAGGGCGGGCGTGGGTGTGGCCATGGGGCATGGGCGGGGCCACGGCCCAGGCACCTGTTCGTCGGCAGCATTCCGAAGGCGGCCGGCCGGCGGCACGCCCCCGAAGGGAGGTGCACCGCATCCTGTTTGGGGAGGCGTGGCCTCCCCAGGCCTATTGTGCCCGCCGCCCATGAGGAGGAGAATTCGTGGCATGTGGGCACTGAGGGTCGCTTCATCGCAAACACGCCGAGGGGCACGGAGAGGGGCAGTCACGCGAGGCCAGACCCCTGGCCCAGCTCATTTCCCTGCAAACTGGCCCCGTCCCAGCTGGGATTCTGCTGCCGAGACTCTCTGCACCCAAACCAGCTTGGGTGGGGCTCTCATGGCTGAACAGGGCCAGCCCCGGGGGCCAGCCCATGTGCCCTAGGACGTGGTGGTTCGGTCGGGGACGCTCTCCCTTCGGAGGAGCAGAAACTGAGCAGCGCATGTGGGAACGCCTGGCGCAGTCCCAGGGAAATGAGGCCTCTCCCCAGTAGTCATTGCTGCTCCCTAGGGAGCTCCGGCCTGGCCACATCCCAGCCCCCAAGAGCCAGCAGGGCTCCCCAGAGGACCCCGGCGCAGGCTGGCAATGCGGTGCCCCCCGGCCCCGGGGCAGAGCGCTAAGTGTCGCTGTCATCGCCTGGTCGTCCAATAATGGGTTTATTGCCCAGCTGATATTAAACTGGCAGCGACGTTATCAGGGTCGTTTGGCGATTGAAATCGATTCCGTTAGCGAAATGAAAACTCCTTGATTAGCGTGAAGTGTATTTGATTACCCCCAGCTGCCAAAGTCTGCGATAAGGGCAGCAGCCCGTGCAGCGTGGCCCAGGGCCTGCTATCTCGCTAATCACCCGTTATCGCAGGGCCCTGCTGAATCAGGAGAGAGGGGAACAAAAGAGTCTTTGAGAACCCAGCGCGGCTCGTCTCCCTGCGTGGCAGAGACAGGGCACGCACTGTTTGATTCCGCCTTCATCTCCGCTCTGCCCTCTTTATTGGCTCTTTGGGGCTCCACTTTTACGGCCCTTCTCCAGGAGGACAGCAGCTATCGAAACCAGTAGGTCCGTGGCGGGGTGGGAAGTGCTGAGCAGGAGATGGAGGGGTGACGGGAGAGACTGCTGGGGGTCAGGCTGCAGCCAGGTCCCTGGGCATGTCCCACCAAGTCTCTGCATGGAGACAGCTCCGGGACGAGCGAGGCTGAGGCAGACGCCCCCAAGCAGAGAGAGCTCGTGAGCATTATCAGCCTGCAACGCTGGCAGCATGTCCGGGCTGAGAGGCCGCGTGGGGCACCCTGCGGTCCGTGCACTGGCACAATGACAGCACAAGGGGCAGAGTGGCAGTGAACGAGGCCCAAGGTGGGCGGGAGGGTAGGATCTTCGGATCAGCTTTTAGCTTCCCACCCGGAGACGCTGTAATGCCCATCAGAAAAGGGAGGAAATCCGCAGTGCCGGAGCATCCAGTGGACTTAACACCGTGAGATTGCAGCATGCTACTCAACACTGAACGTCTGACACCCAGGAGATCTGCCCCATGTCCCCAGAGCCAGCGACTGCCAGGAGAGTTCGCATCATCCTTTATAACAGGAATTTCCTTCCTCCAGCACTTCTCCGCCAGGCGGCTCAGAGCCAGTCACAAACTTTAGCTCAGTTCTAGCAGATGCATCTCACATCTAGCCTGCGCCAGTGGCACCTTGAACATTGACCCCAGAGTCCTGGCCCCACTTCGGCTCTGGTAATCCTATTCTACTTCCCTAGCACCCCCCTGCGTAAGGCGTTCTGCTCACTTCCTGTCCTACACTCTGCCGTGGCACTGAGCACTGCTGAGCAGGCTGCCCTCCACTGGTAGAGGAGTTGATTCATATGGCTTGTAAAGCACTTTGGGCCTTTTGGGATGCAGGGTGCTTTACAGATCTGTCACAGTATCCTGTGCAGACGTCAGTCACTACACTCTCCCCTAGGACGGCCTACAGCTCTCCCATTGACCTCAGCCAGCATTCACGACACCAGCTGATGGAAGGTGTCACCGGAAGGAGGTGATTTTATGTTTTAAACCCTACTATAGACAAGACGCCCCTGTTAAAATCGAAACCTGATTCCCATTTAGATACCATTGCTCTTTATGGAGCACGGCATCGCACTGAATAAGGATGTAAAGCTTTGACACCGAGTGTTATTAGTGGCTTGTTTGTGGGAGTGTAGCTAGGAGCTCTTTCCACACCCAGCCCTGAGACTCAGGCAGGGAACCACTTAGAACTGCACCACAGCTAACAACAAACATTTCTCCAAGATCCATCGGCCCATATAGTCAGTTAAATGGAACTTGTAAGAGTATCTCTAACAGCACCAACTGGTGGCTCCCAGTAATATTACAAGGAATGCACCTTGCCCTCCTTTCCAAAAGAATCCCCCTTAATATGCATAAGGAAATGGATCTCTGTAGCTCTCAAAAACCTGCTAGAAGTCTGCAAAGCACAGCTGTTACCTGCCCGCCCCACATCTTCCAGTGGCTGGTAGTGAAACTGGGGGCAGAGGCTTGGATGAAAACAAGCTGACAACACATGGAATTTGCCCCTTTTGGTTCTACAAGAGGATCAACCTTTGCTATCTCCAGGCGAGAAAACACCCGAAATAAGCGTAGGGTCTGTTAACCTTTTGGCACCCGCAGTGCCACGCACCCCCCAAACGCTGAGATCTCCTTGGGCCAGCCGGCTGCAAAGTGCCAGGGTTCGAAGGGTTAAAGCTGTCAGTATATTCAGGGACTGACATCTGCAGGGCAATAATCTCAAGAAGTGTATTGAGGAAGCAGATAGTAGCCAGGAAGGGGAGGGGGAGGGTGGGAGGTGTTAAAGGGACTGGAACATGGATGTGACCTGGATCTCATGGATAGATGGGTCCAAAAAGGGAGGAATTTCATAGGCTCTGTACAGGGACACCCCTCCTCTGCCCGCCCTCACTGATGCAGGCGACCCTAAAGTGCTTGCTCAAAATTCACAAGCTCATGAGAAGTATACAGACAAAGCAGCAAAACAGGGAACTTGTCGGCATGGGAACTGAAGTCAAAGGTACCAGGAAGGAACCTCCCTGAGCTAATAGCAGTATGCAGCCCTTAGACAGCACTTTCCATTGTCACCGCTCTTTACAAACAGGAGTCAATTAACTGGGGCTAGGCCACCGAGTTAATGATGTGTCATGCGGGAATTTATGGATGCTGCATTAACTGAACGTTATAAAGTTGCACTGGGTTGAATCCGAGGTGCCCAGATGCCAGGTGCCATGTAAGAGCCTAGAGATCAGACTGTGTCACACATCATGGCTAATAGGAAACTCAGCAAAAGCAGGAATAGAACTCCGACCTTCGGGACGCTGGCAGACCACAGGCCAGCGCGTGCCAAGGTCCCCATGTCTTAGCTGAACACTGAGATACATAGCTAGGCCTAGTCTGGCTACCCTGTGTTAGTGCTAGTAAAATCAGTATTAGAACGATAAGAACGTGTTTAGTGTTTAGACTTAATTGAATGCTTGTGAGTGGCTCCCAGCATTAATCTCAGTTATAACAGCTGTGTGCCGTGGTGTAAGGGAACATTGGAGCATTTGTGTTGCAAGCCTCTGTGACTGTGTAACTCACCAGGCAGGAGAGAGACATTAACTAGTGCAACGTGCTGGTCTCCAGCTGAAGGTGTTATCTCCTGGCCAACAGGGAAGGTCCAACTCCCTATGGCTATTGTGAGACGAAAAAGAGGACAAAAGACATTGCTTGCAGGGCTGGCTCCAGCTTTTTTGCAGCCCCAAGCAGCGAAGAAGAAAAAAAAAGCCGCGATCGGCGGCACTTTGGCAGCTGCTCTACCGCACCGCTTCATTCTTCGCGGTGGCAATTCGGCAGCGGGTCCTTCCCTCCGAGAGGGACTGAGGGACCCACTGCCGAATTGCCACCGAAGACGCGGACATGCCGCCCCTTTCCATTGGCCGCCCCAAGCACCTGCTTCCTGGGCTGGTGCCTGGAGCCGGCCCTGATTGCTTGTTTCTCCCCTGTGAAGATGAGTCTTGCAAGTGGATTCCTCCCATCAGCTGAGCTTGCAGCTCTGAGCACAGGGGAGAACGGGACTAAAAACCCCTAAT